TTCATTGTTGTATATGTCTGTTTCCATGGCAATGCCATACTGTTTTTATTGCTATAGTTTTGTAATATACTTTGAAAATAGAAAGTGTGACCCTTTATTCTTTCTCAAGGTTGCTTTGGTTATTTGGGGTCTTTTGTGGTTTCATATGGATTTTAGGATTATTTTTACTACTTCTGTGAAAAATTCCATTGGAATTCAGAGAGAGATTGCATTCAATCTATATATTACTTTGGTTAGTATGGACAGTTTAACAATATTAATTATTCAAATCCATGACATAGAATATCTTTTTATTATTTACGTCTTCTTCAACTTCTCTCTTCAGCATTTTACAGTTTTCAGTGTACAGGTCTTTTACTTCTTGTTGAATTTATTACTAAATATTCTATTCTTTTTGATGTTATTGTAAGTGGGGGTTGTTCTATTTTGTTTATATAGTTTTTTAGTTGGTTAGTGTATAAAAATACAGCTGATTTTGTATGTTCACTTTGTATCCTGCAACTTTACTGAATTTGCTTATTAGTTGTTATAGTTTTTTGTAGAGTCTTTAGTGTTTTCTATATATAAGATCATATCCCAATTTTGCTTCTTCTTTTCTGATTTAGATGCCTCTTAGATGATTTGAGTCTATGTCAGGTAGGACTGGTAAGAGCGGGCACCTTCATCTTGTTCTTGGTCCAAGAGGAAAAGCTTTCAAACTTTCACCATTGAGTATGATATAGTGTGGGCTTGTTGCATATGGCCTTTATTACGCTGAGATACATTTCTTCTATACCTAATTTATTGAGAGTTTTTATCATAAAAGGATGTTAAATTTTTTCAAATGCTTTTTCTGAATCTTTTGAGGTGATCATGATTTGCATCCTTCATTCTATTAATGTGGTGTGTCACATTTATTGATTTGCATATTTTGAATCAACCTTGAGGTGTTAATGTATATTTGACATCTTTATTTTTTCTTCATGTAGGTATTTATAGCTATAAACTTTGCTCTTAAAATTGCTTTTGCTGCATCTGATAAGTTTTGTTATGTTGTATTTCCATTTTCATTTGTCTCATATTTTTTTCTCTTTTGATTTCTTCCTTGATCTATTGGTTGTTCAAGAATATGTTCATTGGGACGCCTGGGTGGCTCAGTTGGTTGGACAGCTGCCTTCGGCTCAGGTCATGGTCCCGGAGTCCCAGGATCGAGTCCCGCATCGGGCTCCCAGCTCCACGGGGAGTCTGCTTCTCTCTCTGACCATCTCCTCACTCATGCTCTCTCTCACTGTCTCTCTCAAATAAATAAAAATAAAATCTTTAAAAAAAAAAAAAGAATATGTTCATTAATTTTCATGTATTTGCAAATTTTCCAGTTTTCCTCCTGCTATTGACTTCTGGTTTCAAGCCATTGTGGTCAGAAAAGATACGAGGTATTTTCAGTCTTCCTGAATTTACTGAGACTTGTTTTATGGTCTAACACATGATCTACCTTGGATAATGTTCCATGTGGGTTTCAGAAGAATGTATATTCCGCTGGTGTTGGATGGAATGTTCTGTATGTGTCTGTTAGGTCCATTTGGTCTATAGTGTTGCTCAAATGATATCTCATTGATTTTCTGCCTAGATGGTCTATTTGTGTTGAGAGTGGGTATTAAAGTCCCCCTAAGACATCTCATCTTTTTTTTTGCCCATGGGAAATTATAATCTTCTCTTTTTGGATGTGTTTGAACATATAATAAACTTTATGCTTCCAAGCTCTGCATACTGTCACTTCCACCTGCAACTCTATTCTCCTACATCTTGAGTTCTTTTAATATTCATCTTTAAAATTACATCTTTTGGGCACCTGGGTGGCTCAGTCAGTTAAGTGTCTGTTTTTGGCTCAGGTCATGATCCCCACGTCTTGGGCTCAAGCCTCGCATCTGGCTTCCTGCTCAGCGAGAAGCCTGCTTCTTCCTCTCTTCCCCACTCGTGCTCTCTCAGTGTCTCAAATAAATAAATAAAATTTAAAAAAAAATAAAATTACATCTTTTTCTGTTAAGCCACCCTGTCAGATAAAGTTTGTACAAGCATCAGACTTGATAATAACTTCTATTTTACCATCCAGAAGTCCTATTGTATTCATAGCAATTATATGCTGTGCGTCTGTTGCCTCCACTGAACCAATTCCTTCCACCATAGTCCTTGCCTTCTGTTTACCCAGACCTTCAAACTTGGGAGATTCCAGTAAATACCTACTAAAACAAATAAAGTGAAGTATCCTAGAACAGAAAACAATATATAAAAATAGGGCAGCAAAGGTCATGAAGGACATCAACTACAGTGTGTGCCTGCTTAATTTAGGCATAACATAGAAAATCAGATTATAGAAGAGAGGAAAAATGCTACAGGCATCAGATTTGATCTGGGTCCTGGAATTCAAAAAGAAGAAACAAGGTAAATTACTCAGTTGTAGTATTTTAGAAAAAGAAAGCTTACCCATTTCATAAGATCAGTATTTCTTCAAAATGTCTAATCATTAAGTACCTGGGATTCTTGTTGGATACAGGTCACTAGCCCCTCCCCTAAAGATTCAGAGTCAGCAGGTTTGTGATAGAGATCAGAAATGTGTATTTTTACAAGCACTGTTAGCAAAGTTTGGAAAACCATAACTAAAGCCAAGGTTCACAGAGCCTCTAGTCTCTAAATAATTTTGTCATGGTGTCTCAGGCCAGAAGAAATACCCCAATATTCCATTTAAGTGGATAGATCCAGACAATAGTTACAGTTGTTAACAGAGTCCAACAGATGGCGCTGTGTTTCCCTCAAAAAAAGTTAGAATTCCCATGAGTTCCTGAGGCAACTCAGAGTCCCTCAGGGCCTAAGTGAACTATATATAGCTTAAAGGGAACATTTTCCTGGAATAGCATCTAAATAAAGTATCTGAACTTGCCTTCTATAGGTAGATAGTGTAAACCAAGTAGAGAGTGTATTCCAGAAATTTCATCACTTTTTATATCATTTATTGCAGTTTTTGTATGGTTGTTATTATAGAGCAAAAGCATCATTTTTCTATAAAGAGCAGGAGAATAAATATTTTGGGTTTGGGGAGCCACAAATGGCATCTGTTGTATATTCTTCTCTTTTCTCTTGCAGTCCTTTAAACATGTAAAAACCATTTTTATCTCCTGACGTAGCCACACACACAGTACAGGTTGTAGTTTGCCAAGCCCTCTAGTTTTAAGCCTAAGTTATAGCATTAAGTGCAATTCAGTGAAAGGGATTCTGCAACGTAAAAGCTCTCAGTATTTTCCTATCTCCTTTTTGCTCCAGGGAAAACTGCAAATATGCAGCCTTGAACTAATATGTGAAAGGTCTACCTGATTGTAAACTGTTGTAAACAGAAGGGCGTTACAAACTTTTGTTCTTAATTCTTGATTTAATGATAATTTGCAAATTTTTTCAGCTTAACAAAGAATACCTGTTAAATTTCTAAGAAAAGGAGACTAGTCATTGCATTACACCCTTTATCACTTACTTGCTGATTATTGTAATGGTTAATGAGGTTCTATAGTTAAAACTAATATGGCAAGCTTTAACTTGTACTAGATTCAATAACTTGATGGAATATGCTATTTGAGACTTCTAGCTTTATTTTCAAAATCAGTGTTGCTGTCTTAAAAATATACACCGTGCTTAGTCCTAAGGTTTTCTGTTACTCTAAAAAAACGAATTTAAAGTACTGTTATATGCTAGTCAATAAATACCACTAGTAGTAAATATCACTAGCAATAATGATGTTGAGAAAAATTCAAAAATTCCTTGAGGAACCATCAATCTGCATTTAAAAAGTGCAATGTTTGGGGTGCCTAGATGGCTCAGTCGGTTAAGCATCTGGCTCTTGATTTTTGTCTCCAGATCAGGACCCTGATTTCAGGGTGGTGAGATGCTGGCCTTCCTCTGGTTCCCAGCTCCGCAGAGTTGGCTTGAGATTCTTTCTTCCTCTCCCTCTGCCCCTCCATAGTGCTCTTTCTAAAATAAATAAAATCTTGTTCAAAAAATAAAATAAAAAGGGCAATGTTTTTAAAATACACCATATAAATTCTTCCAGGTTCCAATCTTAAAGTCCACCATAAAAAGCTGTTTGTTGATTGACACTTCCCCAGTATCCCTCCTCCTATGTTCTAAGTACCCTGAAATTATCACTCATCAGTTTTAATTAAATTTATTTATCACGCGGCAATTTGGTTACTTTCTTTTTCTCCCATGAGACCAGTATTCTACAAGAGCAAAGACAATGTCGATTTGCTCACCATTCTTTCCCCAAGCACATAGAATTGTGTCCACTGACTGTTAAATGTTCAACAAGTATTTGCAAATTTATGGGTCAAGCACACAAGTGACATTTAGGGTCAGAATTATTCAATGGAAGCATTAAGCATTCAGTGACTAGTAGACTTTAAGTTAAAGGGCCACCACTTATTTTCCTGGGTCAGCAGAAACAGCTCATCTTTCAGTTTACTTCCTCATTTGTAGAACCGGGATATTTCTACCTCACGGGGCTGTTGCTGGGATCCTGTGGGAGAGGGGATTTATTTGCTTTGCAAAAGGAAGCTGAGTTTCAGACACTAGTCTGGCCCAGGCTCTTAGGGCAGCTACTGAAGCACGCCCACGTCACCCCGTTATATAAGGGGCCCACCCGTCTGGTGTCCTCTGAAATCTCTGACCCTACGTCACCGGCCACCACCCAGAGGGACACCGTGAGGCGCCCTGAGGCAGGCAGGGAGGGTGGAACCCGGCGGGGCCCGCCTGTCACTCGCCGCGGGCTAGAGAAAGCCTCGGAGACGGCTACTGCTCCCGAGGCCGAAGCCGGAAGCCCCGCCTGACCTCGCGGGTTGCCCGTCCCCCTTAGGCCGGTTGGAACGTGACCTTGTTTTGACGTTGCTAGGAGACCTGGCTCCCGCGCGCCCCCCTCTGGCCAGCGCCCCGCGAGCGCCGAAAGGGGGCGGGGCCGCGGCTGGCGCCGGGAGCTGTAGGCAGAGCACCGTTAGGCTTCCTGGCGCGCGGCGTCCACCCGGCGTCCCCAGAAGCCGCGTCTCGTCTCCGGGCACCAACCTGGCCTCACGGGTGCCTTCCGGCAGGTACCACCGTGCTCCCCAGGGGCTGTGAGCAACGCGGGGTCCGGACGAGGGAGGACTGTGAGTCAGGTGAGCCGCGCAGGGCAGGCAGCTGGTGTGGCCACGCCCTGCTGGAGGAGAGGGGCCGTTGGGGTGCGGGGGGGCGACGTGAGGCGATAGTGGCGCGGAGACAGTGGGCCTGCCCCTGCGGGTGTCCCACATTGAATCATTCACGCCAGGAGGCCGGCGTGGCCACGGCCAGCACCCTCCGGCCAGCGGACAAAGGGTTAACGCGCCGGCGGTGACCGCGGGCCCCGGATGTGGGAGCCGCGGCGCGGCGTCTGCGGGCGCGCTGCAGGTGCGCCGGGGCGGCGTTGTGAGCGGCCTGGCGGCGACCTGATCGAGCAGCTTACGCGTTCCCTCACCTGGTGGGGCCACTCGGCTCCCTCCGCGGGCGTCTTGTTTTCTAACTTAAGGGCAACAGGTGGTGCCTGTGGACCGAGAGAGAACCCAGCTCGGCCGCACTGGGAGCGGCAGTTAACTCTCGCCAATTAGGGCGCTGGGGCGTGTGTGAATTGGACGCGCTGGCGCGGGTGACCAATGGGATTTGGGCTCATGGGTGGGCCGGGAGGAGTGGGCGTGGCCAGATTCTGAATTTACGGTTTCTAGTCCAGCAACTGCCAGAGCTGCGTCGAGAGCTAAGTGGAGCGGACGTGGGGTGCTTCTCCCCCAGGACCCCGCGTAAAAAAAGGCCCACCAAATGCTTTCTCATTTGGACCCAGACTCCATTTCCGGAGGTGAGAGCACTGTGCTATTTTGGGGGGAGCCGGGGGGGATAATAGCGACCTTGGGTATGCTCTTAAACACGTGGAATTAGATCCCTGAGATAGGATTATGTGTTAGGGGGTTTGCGCCTAAAGAGGCATTTCTGTGGTTATTGCGAGTTGGACCAGATACTAATGACTAAGTTGTCTTCGGAATGAGGGCTTGGAGATTTGGGAACCCAGGGAAGTAGAGTAGTACGTGTTACTGCAATTTTCGTGAATGTTAAAGAATTGAAATCACAGGGAATCATTCTGTTGGTTGCCTTGGTTTGCGTACGTTTCCTATTTCATTGGGTTTGTTATTGAAGCAAGTTGGATTTTTCAAGTTCCCCGTCTTGCTTATTTAAGCAGGAAGAGAGGAAAACAGTTGTAGTACGTTATTTCACCAGAATAACTTATTCATTTTCACCCTCAGCATTCTGGTAGCTGAATCCCCTAGGAAGAGAAGTTCTAAAGCAGTGAGAAGAAAGCATCTCAATTTGGATCAATTACTTGCACCTGGAAATGGGGAATGGACTGTCAGACCAGACTTCTATCCTATCCAGCCTGCCTTCATTTCAGTCCTTTCACATTGTTATTCTGGGTTTGGACTGTGCTGGAAAGACGACTGTATTATATAGGCTGCAGTTCAATGAATTTGTAAATACTGTACCTACCAAAGGATTTAACACTGAAAAAATTAAGGTAACCTTGGGAAATTCTAAAACAGTCACTTTTCACTTCTGGGATGTAGGTGGCCAGGAGAAATTAAGGCCACTGTGGAAGTCATATACCAGATGCACAGATGGCATTGTGTTTGTTGTGGACTCTGTTGATGTTGAAAGAATGGAAGAAGCCAAAACTGAACTACATAAAATAACCAGGATATCAGAAAATCAGGGCGTCCCTGTACTTATAGTGGCTAACAAACAAGACCTGAGGAACTCACTGTCTCTGTCAGAAATTGAGAAATTGTTAGCAATGGGTGAACTGAGCTCATCAACTCCCTGGCATTTGCAGCCCACCTGTGCAATCATAGGAGATGGACTAAAGGAAGGACTTGAGAAACTACATGATATGATAATTAAAAGAAGAAAAATGTTGCGGCAACAGAAAAAGAAGAGATGAGTGGTGATCTTTTTTATATCTGTGTGGAGTAGGTTTTCTCTGGTCTGATGTTGACAAATGGAAGAGTGTCTACAGCCTGGTTTGCCCGCCTGCCCTCCTGGATGCTGATAAAGCTTTGTTTTGTTGAACAATCAGATGCCCAACTCTTTTGCCTTGTGGAAGATGAGTAAATGCCGTGCTTCTTAAAATGGTCTCTTATTCCCTACCCCACAAATTTTGGTACTACCATTCTAGGAAGCCAAGCATGGATAGCGAATTGACCAGAAAACCAGAAAACAGTTGTGGAAATTTGACCTGAAGTTAGTGAAATAAAACTTTGAAGAGTGTCTGCCTAGTGTTTTGTCCTTACATCTTTTGGGGGAAGCCTTTCCAAGGAAATTGCATATAAGGTTTTGTATGTTAACATAAAATGTTAATGAATGGAAATGTTAAGATAGATTAATATATATACACGGTTATATTGATCACATTGGTCCAACCAGTAAGGGAAAAGGAGGAAGTGTTTGCTTTTTTAAGTTTTGGCCAAATGAATTTTGACATTTTCTGGAATCAGATGATGTAATGGTATATCTTAATTCTAGACAATGTTTAAGTTGGTCTAACTTAAAATAATACAAATACGGTATTGGCATATTCAAGTGCATGGATTCGTTTTCCTGACAATGCATGTTTTGGTGTGTAGTTTTTTACTTTTTAGGAGTAGCTATGCATCTTTCTCCATGGTCAGGTTTAAAACACCTTTTTGGGGATTTAGGGCTGTTCTAGAAATAGTTTATTACCAGAAGCACTTTCACTTGAAGAACCTAAAATAATTTACTTAATTCTTTTATATAGTAAATTAGGGCATGTAGATTAATAAACGCATATGCTTGGTATATATGGATTTATGAAGAAAGCAATTGATGAATTCAGTCAAGAGGATGCAATTATAATACATGGTCTCTAACGTATTCCAACTGTAAAATACTTGTTTTATTGATCCTTGCTGGCTGAACACAGATGTGGTTTCGTATATTTTTGTAGTGTTTTGAGAGGAGTAGAAGCTTTATAAACAACACCTGATGCACTGTGGAGTGAGAATGTAAGAGATGTCCTATAAGTACTCTGAGCTTTAAGTTTTTGTTTACAATCTCAAAAGTGTTATGTAGGCAGTCCAGTCCTGATTATAAGGTAGGAAGAAATGATACAGTACTGCAGATAAGAATTAACGATTCTAGAAAATGAAGGGGAAAGTAGCAAAGCTATGTTTTGTGAAAATTCGCTGGTGCTGTTTACACTGGAATTCAAAAAGCCCTCTAAATTAAAAGGAGGAATACCCTTTCCTAATTCTTATCTACAAGCAAGGACTTACTTCCAGTGATCCTGTATTAGCAACTCAGCATAATTCTATGTGTAAAGCCAACAGCTGTTTGTTCTGAAGATAACCAAAAGAACTGCACTTTGCAAGCAGTGTTTTATTTTGACTTGGGGTTTTCTGTTTTGGGGGTTCTCTCTCATTTTCAGTGGTACAGTTTTTGGAACCTTGATTTTTCTTGTTACACACAAAATGAAGTAGCTTCCTGTGGAGCTTTCATTGTTAAATGTACCTGCACTAGTGACAGTCACTTAGAATGTTTATATTTATAAAAATGTGGATAATAACTACCAATAAACTACTGGAGGCACTAGGAGAACAGTGTTTGACTTTTGAGTTTTAATGTATTTCCGTTTGCTGAAGCTTTTAATTAAGTGTGCAAACACAACTGTGACAGCTGGGTTACATGGTTACATAGTCCCAGAGAAATTTGGTTTTCCTCAAGTGTGAGAGGCACCAAAGGTCAATTTTTGCGAGAACTTTTTTTTTTTAACCTTTCACTAAATGAAATCATGGTGTATATTCTCAGTATCACTAGACCTGTTGTGGATTAATAAAGCTTGCTGAAAAAAACTCAGTGAATGGATTTAGATGTTTAGCCCATCTGTACTTTTTATATACTTGCTGTATAAAATCTTACTGTTTTAACCATTTCTTGGGAGTTTTGAGTGTGTTGACCCTTCTTTTGTAGCCTAAGAATTTGATAAGCAAATTCATGTTATCTGTTCCATATTTAGTGCACAACTACAAAAACAAAAATGGCATGAATATAATACTAGCTTTGATTTATAAAACACATTTTCAACTCCAAAACTGGTCATAATTTCCACTCCACTAAGGAGTCTTCCCAAAATACACCCTGAAGAGTTAAGATAGTGCTAAGGTACACCGTTTCTAAAGTATATTTCTAAAATATTTCTTGAATTTGAGGTTATTTGGTTTAATACTCAACATTAATCATGGTCCAGATTACTCTAAATTCAAATTACTATCAAAGATAAGTTAATTATGATGTCTAGACTTACTCCAAAATGGATTGTAAGCACTTAGGAAAAAAGTTTGTATAGACAGCATATGTTCATTAGTAATGGAAAAATGAATAAATCCTTGGAAGCTGAAAAGTGAAGTTACTAGTAATAATAAGTGTATGTAGAGAACTACTAGCCTGTAGAAGCATGATGGTTTTTGAACAGAGGAAAAGACCCAGAGTTAGAATGTATGTTTGTATAAGGCATTTGACACTTAAACAGTGTCAGATTAATTACTCATACTGACCTGGAAGGAGGTCTTTGGTAGAGTGTTTCAAGGTCCTACTTAATACAAAAATTTCAGTAATCAGTAATATAAACACAATGGTTTCTTCAGAGATCACAAAAGACACAAAATTTTTTTTTCAGCTTTTGGTAATATAACAGTCGACATTTAACTAATAGACCTTGGAATTTTGAATATATCATTTGAAGTTGAAATTTTACATTTAAGGTTTAAATTTTAGAAGATTCTTAAATGGATAGTAGTGATGCTTGTATAAGGTTGTGAATGTACTTAATGCCACTGAGTTACACATTCAAAAGTAGTTAAAATTGTAAATTTTTTGTATATTTTACCACAATTAAGAATTTATAATACTAAGTATACACTTAGTTTCTAAGAATCAGCCAAGAGTAGAGTGAGAGCATCCTAATTTAGAGATCATATTTAGTTGCAAATTTTATGGAAGATTGGGGTGTTGAAAGTTTAATATGAACAGGGTGCCTGAGTGGCTCAGTTGGCTGGGCTTTTTGACTCTTGGTTTTGGCTCAGGTCATGATCTCAGGGGTGTGAGTGAGATCAAGTTCCCTGTTGGGCTCTGTGCTCAGCGGGGAGTCTGCTTGAGATTCTGTCCTCCTCCCCTCTGTCCCCCTCCCTGCCTCCCTGCTCAAGTGTGCGGGTACATTCTCTGAAATCTTAAAAAAATTTAGTATGAACATACAGCATGGTAAACTAATAATTGTAAAGTTAATATTAAACTACATGATAAACATGATAGTCCCAACAAACCACAGCTGAAATACGTGTTAAATCTGTGTATGCAAATTAGAAACCTATGAATGTCTACATGGGAGGCTAGTTTAGGAAGATACATGTATTGGCTAAAAACAGCTGGAGCTTTGGAGTCAGATTAGGGTTCAAATCCTGGCTCTCCAGCTATACACCTGTGACCTTCTGGCTTGTTATTTGAAACTTCTCAAAATGTGAATGCCCTCCTGGGAAGATGAAGCCTGTCACATAGAATATGGAGGGTATGGAGTGAAATAATGTGAACTATTTAGTGCCTCACCAAGTAGATCATAAGAACCCAGTAAATGGTAGCTATTACCGTTAACAAGTATGGATCCATAGGTGTTGAGAGGCAGTTGGTAATAGCTATAAAAATTTAAATTTGAACCTTAGCTCCACCATGGACTACTTTCGCTTGGGACAATTTCTTTTCCCTCAGCCTTGGTTTCTTCACTGGTAAACTGAAGCCTATGCCTACTATGTGGGTTTAATTTACTAAAAGTCTTAAATGAAACTATGATATTTAGGGAATACCTGCCACATAGTATCCACTTAATGGATCTTTGTTATTAATGTCCAGAATATTTTTTGACAAATGTATTTAAATATATTTAATACATATTTATATTTAATATATTTAATATATATTTTTATATTTAATATATATTTAAAGAAAACTTACTTTGGAGGGGAATATTTGTGACACAAAAAGCTCTGACTTTGTTGTGTAAGCTTTCCTGCGGCATGGCACAAAACGGGAGCTTGGTGGAACTTGGGAAAGATGAAGTGTACCAAATTCTCTTGAAGTCTGGGTCATTTCCTTAAATTTCTAAAGCACAGTCTGTTTTAGCACAATATTGTCTCACCTTCCCTTTTAAGAAACAAAATTTAAAAACATGGTTATTTTTTGGTGTAGACACAATTAGAACACTTCACTGCAGAAATTAAAAAATCTGGAACTGTGTACATTGTGGTTCAGAATACCTCAAGATTATTATCAGTTTGCAGATTTTATCTAATGATAAGTTTTGGTCTGTATGCTGACTCTTCTGTGGAAACTTGCCAGTATTTGTGGGCACATCTGGTAGATGGTGGTGATTTGTGTTGGTGGGACGGATATGTGTGTTGTATTGTTTTCCAGTTACTTTCAGTTTGGGGTCAGGGTTTTATGTGTTCTGCTTATGTTTTGCTGAAGCTGAGATTACCCACATTAGATGTGGGATTATAAAGGAGTTGAGTAGAAAATCCTGGGTTATTAGCCAAGATAAACCCATACTTTCTTTGGCCCTCTCTTCTCTGAGTCTGTAATAAGGAAGAAATTAAAACAGTGCCAAAATAGAAGTTATTATCTGGATCATTGTCCCCACCCCTTCCCTTCCTGTTTGAAGACTAACAGGTAGTACAGCTTTGTGCGCGTGTGCGCGTGTGTGCGAGCGTGTGTGTATGTGTGTGTATGCGCGCGTGCGCATGTCTGTGGTCCTCTAAGTGACTGAAACTGGTTTAGGTTAACACAGTGATTCTCAAATGTGGTCCCTGAACCAGAAGTATTAGCATTACCAAGAAACTTGCTAGAAAGGCAGATTCTCAGGCTCTGTACTAGAGCTATGAATATAAAAGTTTGGGATTGGGCCTATCAGGTAATTCTGATTTTCATTAAAGGTAACCATTGAGTTAACAGAAAATCCCTTACGCTAAAAAAAATTGAATTAAGATAAATAATTCCAATATCCTAAGATTCAGACCTTTTTAAAAATGCTTTTTCAAAAACAGGATGTTTGATTTATAGGAGCATCCAGGAAAACCTAGTTGAATGAACTTTAATCAAGCCAGCAGAAACACTATCTTTTATGTGTCATATCTTATATATTTATTTTATACATGGGATGTATATACAAGAGAAGGGAGCTTTGCTTCTTCACTGTATGCTAAATC